GGGGGGGGGGGTTCAGGACCATGAAATTCGAATTCCTTTGGGTCAATTTCCTATTCAACCCCGCGGTCCCTGACTTCGTTCGACCTAAATCAACCGAGAAAAAGGCCTGATACGGGTGCTCTGGGACACCCTGTATGTGCACACATTGAAATGTGTCCTTCTCTGAGGGACCAACGCACTAAAATTGTCAAGAAGGACCTATATCTTGATTCAAACTGCATCGTGACTGAAATGATCACAATATTGCGCCGTACAAATACTTCAATAATGGAAACATACATATAAATAACTGTCATTAATAGCAACCATCTGATGACAGAAGACTGAACGATCATTGCATGACGGTCATAGATATACTGCCGCGGTTTTGCATACAGACAAGAGCCACGCAGTTGCAGTTTAAAGTTTGCCCGTCACGAAAGTTGCGGCTAATCAGCACAAATATTTGTACAAGTTATTTACAGTAATTATCCATGAGTTCCTCGTCAAAAATCTTTTGATGCACTGGATAAATCGTGAACCCAAAATGGTAGCGCTCTCCAGCCTAATCTTATTGGTGACACTTTGAGAGAAGTGGTGTATGCTTGGTTTGATGCTTTCCTTATTTTACCATCCCAAAATTTTCCCCCGAGTGCCCGCTGCAAACAAAAGTTTGAAAGCTCTATAGCTATAATTATAGCACTAAATTAGAGTCATGGAGACCTCATCTTAGTTTAAAATGCATTCGTTTTTTAATTTTCCAGATTGAATATTATAACAAAGGTTATAACAAAGAGGTGGCCTTTGGTAATTATTTGTCACGCTGGAATACGTTTGAAGAACCGGTGAATGTATCCTACCCGACGGAACCAAATGCCTATTATGCCTTAATTATGACAGGTGAGTAAGAAAAATAATTTTCAAGAAAGAGTAAAATTCAGATTTGTACACTGTCATTGAGAGACATAATTGACGAGAACGATCAGAAATAACTTTTAAGATAAACAAAATCAAAATGCATGGTCAAGCAAGTGTTAGGGTAGGTTAGGCTTAACACGAATTTTAAGAAAAATTGTCCATGTTTGACCATGAATCGAGAAACTTAGTCACCAGTTATATGTATGGTTTCGGAGGTTCAGAGCTTCAATCACACTGTGGCTTCACTAAAATATGCTGGTTTTCTCTGAGGGTATTGTTTTTCTTACAAAGTAAAATTGCGCATTTTAAGAACCTTCAAATACGAAATAATAATAATATACCACGATGGACCAATCTGTTGACTACCATATTTTTTCACAGACCCGGATTGTCCTTCGAGAGAAAAGCCAACTCACCGAGAATGGCAGCATTGGATTCTTGTTAATATTCCCGGGGCGAACTGGACTCAAGGATTTCGCCTGACGGAATACATTGGAATTCTACGTGAATACGAATTTGGTTAGTAACAACTTCTGATGCTGGTCATTGTAATGTGGGAAAACTCTTACGACAGCTATTTGCATGTTGGATTGGACGTACATGGAATAGTGATAAAGGTCAACATTTGATTTTGGCTACCATCTATATAAGAAACGCGGTTTTTTTTACGAGATACCGGTCTTTACTTTTTAGGTAAGAATTTTTTCCATACGACTGAGAAACTCAATCGAGGTAAGTTAGCCCTGATTAAGTCTCTTGGTCGTATGGAAAAAATTCATGCCAAAAAAATTAATAGCTGATAAACAAGTTGAACAAGTGATTATGGCTTGCGCAGTGTTTTTCCTTGATTGGCATAGCCCAAAAATTGCAGAATCTTAATCGATGAGTCACGGGAAAATACGTTTTTCCGTCTACAATTTTTAAATGATCAATATTTGCAGAAAGGAGACTCTTGAGTAGTAAATTAATTAAGAAGTCGATCATTTTAGAGAAGCTCCTCATTAGTCATTATTTGATCAATTAATTGGATTCAACAGAATGATAAACCTAGAGGTGAATTTTTGTCACCTCATCATGAAAAACGCTCATAGATATACCTATTTTTGTCCACAGCTGTTCACCGTTATGTCTTCCTTCTATACAAACAACCTGGGAAATTGAAATTTACAGAAAGAATATTGGACATTCGGTAAGCACAATTTGTAATTTTGTTCCAATTAAATGGGTTGTTCAATTCATTTAAGTCTCAAGATTATGGCTTGTTTGAGTTAGCCATTGAATTGACGTGAAGATTTGTATCCATGAATCAGAAGAAAACCCGTATTTGGATCGAATGAAAAAACTTTTAAAATCCAAGTTCTAGATATTTAGGTAGCGGTTGAAGTTTGATGAAATCATGTGTGCGCAATTATTCATGAAAATTTCTTTTGAAATTATGCAAGGAAGGATGATGGTATTCAGTGTGGTATGGACATGTGCAAAGAATGTCGGAGGAGAAGTTGCCCAAACAAGTTTTGGATTGGGTAAACGACCTGGGAAAAGGCGACGCACAATGGATCGGTTCAATTAGAGAGGCCGGACTTGAAAATTTTAACTAAAACTGCAAATTTTGATTACTTTATTGTCACATTTTGAATTTTGAGGTTTGCTACCAGAAGAAAATTTCACGATGAAATCAATGAAACCACTTTGAGAGCCTCAAAATTTTGTATAAACGGAGTCATAAGCGTTTGAAGTTTCCAAATTTTGTCCGACCTCTCCTGTTGACTCTGTCCACTGTGCGACGGGGGCGATGGCAGGGCGTTGTGGAAGAAAATGATGTTGCGTCATCAGTTTCCCGATAACATAGGCACATGTGGCGTTTGGGTGTCGCAGAACGCAAGAGTGTGTCACAGAAGCGACTTTATGTGCGTACGTAGGATGATAATACGAGTGCAGAGTATACAATTTGCTTTACATAATAGTTCAACATAATGTTTTTTTTTTGTAATATTTGATTCTTATTTGTTAAGAGCCGAATTCTTTTTTTTCTGACTTTTTTTTCTGACTTTAGGCCCGTCGAAGAGTGGCGGTGTAAATTTTCCACTAGGAATTTCGCAAAAAAGTACAAATTTGGTGACCCCGTTGCCGTCAATTTTTTCATGTCGGACCTCGGAGGGAGCTAGTTCTTGAAAGCACCAACGCTGGTGTAACGCCATTCCGGTGGTTGATCACAGAGAGGAAGTCTATTAAATGGTGGGGCAAGAGGGCGGCCAACCCGTTATTGACAAGTTCAACCCTCAGGTGGACATATGAAATACTAACTACGTACTGACTACGATACTACAAAAATAAAACCAAATCTAAAACATATTTTAACTCTATTTTAGTGTAAGTTGGGTGTAATGTGCTCCCATAATGTTAGATTTTGCGGATCACCATTGCGGTTTTCTCAATGATTGGATCCGTAAAACCCATGTTCCCTAAAGCTCTCTCCACTTGTTTTTCCGAGAGTGCCAGAATCAAAGGCATATGTATCTTCTTAAATGAAATAACAAAAAAAAACAGCGTGGCTTGAGCAAAACTCGTCATTTGAAAGTTTTTCCTCCGCCAAAAAGCCGAGAATTCTCGCAACTGATGTACTGTTCGTTTTCATTAATATGGCAAGGCATACTTGATTATGGTAAATCTCAATTTGGCCATCAAATGCAGTGAAGAAACTATTCGTCATGCGTTGCTTATTCACTTAAAGTTGTTGAAATGCTTCTGAAGTTTTCTAATTTAATAAATGACAAACAGACATTTTTTCTGATCATCTAAGAGCTAACACCTCCTTAATTCATCAGAGCAAATTCCTCTTGTAGACTTTTTAGTGATCATTATTTTCTTCGTTTTTCTTTCATATACGAATACACTCCACCAACAGGTGGCGGAAAATTTAAAAAACGTCCCTTTAATGAAATTACTGAATTTATTCTTGCTTCATCCTTGTGTAAAATAAGTTGACCTTTTATTTTCCTTCTGTGGAGTCCCATGAGATGTTTTGTTCGAGTTGGTCATAATATTAGCATAAAAAAATTTAATTTTAACTTTTAATTTTCAAATTTCAATAAACAACTTTTGATTTTCAATTTCATTCTAATTCGACTGAGTCTTATAATGACAACTACTTTAATTGCATACAACTTTTCAGTAGAGATAGACTACGTGCACGAGGGTAAATATAAACAATTATACTGATGTTGGACCATTCCACGTATTTTCTGTCTGAAGGCATTCCTTAAAATTGTCTTACCAATAAAACAATAAAAACAAAACGAAGTAAAGAAAAGTAGAAATACCTCTCTGTAGAGGAAAATATATGCACTGTCGACATCATGTCTTTTCTCTATTTGCGAATTTGTATGCACGGATGACAAGTTTCTTTTCGAGGTCATTTCTTATCTCATATTTTTGTCCGCCTAATTGTTCTCTGTGCTGACTTTTCTTTTTTCTCGATTTATATAGCCAAGTGTAAGTTACGATTATTAACAAAACACAAGTTGCTGCGGTGTTGGCCCTAGCAGTTCTATAGGTCTACAGTTTACAGTTACACGTGAGACTCAGTTATTGTTCCTCCCATGAGTGCACGAGAACATGAGTGCATGAGAACATGAGTGCATGAGAACATGAGTGCAGTTTCATGAGTTCCTTTCATGTGTGTTTTCTTATGTGCTCCGTCCTCTGTTTTTTTTTTTGTATTTAATATTCTTTTTCAAGTGCGACACTCAAGCCCTTTAAAAATCGTGATCCAGGAAAAGGTTATCCGACCCAAAAAATTTACTCATTGGCCGTTACTTGCATAAAAGCATTGCAATTTCTGATTCATCATTAAAAGCACATATCTGCATAGAAAAACTGATGGCACATGCGTTATTTCTAAAAAGAGCGAAAAAATGTAGTTCCTTATTGCAAAATTTAGTCCAATTGTAGCTGAGCTAATTCTGCACGACATCATTGGTCGGCGTTAATGACAACTCCACGTTTCCCGAACGAAGGAGTGCACCTCCATTCCGAAGTTGCAAAATTTACTCATATTATTATAAGAGCTATATTTTATTTTATTTATATTATATAAATTGTGACATGTGCCCTAACATGCATGAATTCTTATGAATTTTAAGGCTCATTATAGAATGGAAATAATTCCTTTTGACTTAAGTACGTCCAATCAAGATTCCTGTGCCCATTAATACCTACTCATGCTGATTTTATTTAAACTCAATTGATCCTTTATTTAATGATAGACGCTGAAAAAAGCATTTATTATTTTGTGCGTAAGTAAAAAGGCATTCCTTGCCGAAACCTATAGAACTCATGGGGTTGAAATTAAACTTGGGGGAGTCCTCTGAGGTGAAGCAGAGTTTGACCGAAGCAGGGGGGAAAAGAGCGTGGTTTAACATTCCTAAGTCCATTTTTATTAGGCTCTTCCTGTTACTAGTTCTTATTTCCCCTCTCTACTACCTTTCGGAAGAGCCGGTTAGTCCAAAACTGAATAGACTTAGTGTTACACACCAGGACAGCTCTTTCGAATCGTGGACTTCCCGTCTGAAAACAATAGCATCAAACAAAAGTGAGGGGCAAACTGGAAGCCTTATTAGCAGAATCAAGAACATCGGCGGCAAAAATGGGACAAGCGGCAACAGTTCCAATTGAAATGGTATTTTGACATATAAAGCTACAGTTTGTTTCTTTTCATGTTCTTTCATGTGTTCTTTCAAGTCCTATTACACAACTAACCTCAAGAAATTACACCTGCCACGGGCAATTCAGGAGATCATTTTTTTTTAAAAAAAAATGTGTCCAACAGTTAACGATAGCATAGGACTACCCTGTATTTTGTTCTTATTCATACCCACATAAATCATATTAATTTGTATTTAACATTCGCTTCTTTTTTATTTTTTTATTTAAAAAAAAAAAAAAAAAAAAAAAAAAAAAAAAAAAAAAAAAAAAAAAAAAAAAAAAAAAAAAAAAAAAAAAAAAAAAAAAAAATATGATTGCTGTTCTTCATGATTTTATTTCACGGTGATCATGGGAACAGCTTTCAGTCAATGAATAATTTCCTATAACTAAAACATGTGTTTCTTCCTGACTCTCTTATCTAATCACTTATCACTTATCTCATTCCAAACTTATCAAAATTATTTTGGTTCCGGTAAAAAAAACGGACGGTATATTCACTGTTGTCAAGTGGCATTGTTTCTGAAGACGACAAAAGTGATATTATAACTCTGACTAAAAACGTGGGTGTAGTACCTGTAATCCACCATCAGCATTGTGAAGGCAACAGTTCTTGTTCTGCTTTTTAAACTTAAATTTAAATAATTAAATCAAAGAATAAAATTTGATTGAATTTTTAAAATGGTGGATACATTAAGCACCAAGCCATTACGAGGGATATTCCTAAAAATGTGAACAGTGCCAATAAGGACTAATGAAATAATTCATGTTTATACTTTAAACTTAATACATTTTAAAATGTATAGTCCAAATAATATTTTTGTCGTAGGAATGCCCCAAAATTACCACATTTGGCGGACCCATCCCTATCCAAACGTTTGATGAACTTTTAGAATTTCTCGGAATGCAGTATGCACAAACAAGCAAAATGCCTTATCATCACCATCTGCGCCTTACTAAACGGCTGTGCAAGTCAAAAGCCGGAGACATCATCCCAAAATATCCTCACGGATACAACAGTCTCAAGCCTCGAGGATGCCCTCTACGAGTTTGAGATAATACCAGACGTATTAGAAGATGAGCCACAACACGTCATAAAAGTAAGTGTGTGCATGCGCTCGGGAAATAACTCTCATCACTTGGTATAAGACTTTCCTGATTGGCGACAACTGCGCCGTTTCACAAGATTGTGGAAAATCAAAATTAAAAAAAAGTTAATGAACTAATAAACAAAATAAATACATTAGTAAATATGAAAAGTAGCTTCAAATTAATTTAGCGTCCCATTTTTTTTTTTTTTTTTTTTTTTTTTTTTTTTTTTTTTTTTTTTTTTTTTAATATTCTTGTAAAGGGAATGCTAGTGCGAGGTGATGGTTTATACTTAATCTTACTCAGGGATAGATAGTTCTCTCATAAGTCGTTTACTTTGCAAATTCAATATCCCAGTAAGCGCAGGATCTGTAGGGTGGTTGGGGTTTCCGGGGCGAACCTGTGGTGTCCCCTCTCCCCTATTTCCCACTAATTATTCATAAGTCGAGAGAATAGGAGGTGGAGACAAATTTATCACCCGGCGCTGTCAGATGTATGTTAAAGTAGGAATACATTCTCTTTTTTTTTTTTTTTTTTTTTTTTTTTTTGATAAATTGAATTTAAAAATAAAACTATAATAAATTCATGGAAAACGATGATTTTCATGTATGAAGATCGTATTTCTGGCGTGTTATCTATTGATTGAACTCTGCAGCATTACTTATTATATCAAAGGCAATACTAGAGTTACACCCACCACAAATCGGAATGTCGCGAATATCTATTCACTCTTACGCTTCACTTTCCAATGAGACAACTATTTTGATTATTGCGAGAAATTTTGCTAAATTTTTCTTTATAATCTCAAGAACATCTTAAAAATCCCTCATTATAGTCCTCTTAAAATATACTGCAATCGAGGTATTCGTTTTTCTACCTAGTTGCAATATCAAATTCTTATTAAAAAAAAAAAAAAAACTTATTTGTATTTGTAAATATACCTGATAATTTAGGTGAAATTTGGAGACAAGGTTGTGAACCTCGGGAGCAAGTTCAAGTTATGTGACTTACAGCTTCCTCCGAGCTATGTATCATGGAATTTTGATAAAGGAGCTCTTTATACACTAGTATTTGCAGGTACGTAGAAATACGATGTATTTTTCTCTGAGCATTTTCTATATTTTTAAAGTATATTTCGGACCGGTTCTGCAAGAAGAGACCCTATTTTTCAGTAGAAATCTTTCCAGGAAACTCAAAAGAGAAAAAAATGGAAATTCGCTAATTTGAGTTCTGAACGGGTAGATACCCTCTGGAGATGACCTATATGAAACGAGCTACGCACAGTTTTTTCATGTTATCATCGAAAATTAGAATGTAAAATACACTTAAACATGCTAACATGATACCGTGCTACATACTAAATGTTCCAAGTTTAAATTGTGGATGTTGGACAAATTACAGGTGTCGATTATCCTGTTCATATGCAGCACCAATACCGAGAATACCCTCATTGGGTTATGGGTAACATCCCAGGCGATAGTTTTCTGGCTGGAGAGACAATTTTCAGCTACCATGATCCTGCTAAGATTAATTATCTTCCTGGTAAGATTTATGAAATACGCTAGTTACCGCGGAGTTCTTCATTTTCTGTAATAGTTCTGCGAATAATGTTTCTATGGCTGCAGATGGTTTTGCATTCTGCTAAAGTGCCTGAAAACTCAAATAGACATATGCCTCATATGTGTATGAAAAATATTTGAATTTCATGTACACGTGCATCCATGCAAATCGCTTCGATTTTCAGTTGTACGTATATTTATGCTAAAAGGAACTATACGCATAGGGTTTACGTGCAATATACTTCGTTTTAGCATAAATAGGTACAGTCAGTTGTTTCGATGATCACCGTGTTTTCACTTCTCTCTCTTTTTTATTAAAAAATTGAAGGATCTACCTCCACCAAAGTAAGCTAAATGTTTCCTATTTTCTCTGTTTGTATCTCTTGAGTACATAGTAGCACCGATTACTAAGATTTAATTTTTATTTTCATTCAAATAAAACAGGGTTTCACCGCTTTGTGTTCACACTGTACAAACAAAACTGTTCAGGACCTGTGAAATTTGAGGAGAACCTTCCTGCCAAAAGGTAAAAATAGGCATGAATTGTTATATCCTTTCTTAGAACGGTCGAATGGCAGTTGGCTGTCAAAATTTGTCGCTTGGCTGACAAATGAGCGTATCTACACATTGAAATGAGTCCGGGAAAGCATCGAGTTAAATGGACGGCAGGGCTCATCGCGAAATGCAGTTACACCTTTATGTCAGGAGGGCGACAAAATAGAGTAACTCGAAAGAGGGAGTATGAACACTTGTCACACGCGCTTCCAATCTTACAATATTCAAGATAAATTTTCTCGAAATAGCACACGATTAGCTGTACAACTTTGTAAACACGCCGTAATGATGCAACTTAGTAAAGTTCCCGCTGCGATATGTGAATAAAACCACATTCTAAGTCATTTTGCATTTAATCTGCTTTTAGCGTCCGCCAGTTTTGAGTCCAAAGAGTTTCATGAAGTTGAAAGATGGGACAGCCGATCAAAAATGGGAGCCTTATGGCGATACTCTGTCAAATTACTCTAGTCAAAATTAGTCTGTGTAATCATGGGTTTAGCCGCGCCAAGTTACAAACGTAATACATTTCATATGCAAAAACATAAAATATTTCTTGTTGAGTGCTACAAAAACGCTTAGGCAATGGTCGACTTGTTGAAGAAAGCATACAGTCATAATTCTATGCGGAATGGACACTTCAAGCGTAACCAGGAAAGCGTCAGTGTCGATAAGCGGAAGAGGCTTCGACGGACAGGGCTCATCGTGACTATCCGAAAATGTAAATCGCGTGAGAAAAATTGTTGTTGTCGAATTCATGTTTCAGACGTAGCAAAAAACGAAATATTAGTGCTAGTTTGTAGTTTTGAAACGTATACGGGAAATTCGAGCCCAAACGTTTTGACCGAGATACGAAAGGGATAACGCGTCACACGTTGTGACCGAAAAAGGAGCTTGAGGTATTCCTCGGTTTTTTCCTGCGCAATGGAATACTTGCACACGTTTGGGGGATTTGTGATTCAAATATGGATGCCTATGTTAAATTTTGCAAGAAACACGATGATGCAACTGGTTGCCGCTGAACCGAACTTCAAAGTTCAAAAAAGCTCTCAAGTATGAGGTCGTATTGGAGGGGATATTCCGCGTTACCCTAACAATGAGAGTCAACCTCTATATCAAGTCGAACTTTTTAAAGATAGGGAGCAAATACATTGGCCAGGTTGCCGTACTTCAGTTGCAGAACTTGCAGAGTCCCCAAGCAAAGTGGAAACCCTGCTAATGTATTCGCTCCCTATCTTTGCATTGAGAGTTTGACTTGATGTATAGGTGGACTCTCAGTGTAGCGTGGGATATCCCCTTCCATTACGGCCTCAACTTTAAGAGCTATTTTTGAGCTTTGGCGTTCGGTTCCAGAGAAAACTAGTGGCACCTTTGTGATTTTCGCGAAATTTTACATAGGGCGCAGTATATTAATCGCAAATTCCTGACAAATACAAGAGCTTTATTGCAGTTTATGTGCTGGTCTCTTGGCACGGCCGACCAACGGTCTCCGCTAAATTTTGGTTCGAATGTTCATCTCCTTCTTTCATCCTCATCTTTGGTGAATCTCCGTATTACAAAATAACTAACTAACTAACATACGAGTAACGCAAAACGCATAATGCCTGAGGCGCGTAGCCCTTAGCCAAGTCGCACAGCGAGGCGGTCAGGGGGGCGTAACCACCCCGTGTTACTTTATGTTCATCATCAATACACTGAAAAAAATTTACGGGCTACATAGATATACCGTTCGTTCCGGGCTCAGAGGCTGAAAGTTCCGGGTGCTGAAACTATAGCTTTAACTGCTGCAGGTGCTACGCCCGGAACTCCGGAACAGATATTCAGTAGAAAAATTGCTCTCCTATAGAATTATCCTCCGCAGACAAAGGTTTCTTCTCAATGGATAGTTAATCGTTTGAAAATCCTTCTACATAGTATGATGAAAATAAATACTTATCATTCTCGGTTTGAAGATGAATTATTTTTTTTAGGTTTCCTATGATGATACAGTGATAAATTTTGGAAATATCATCAACTACACATACATTTGGGAACACGAACCGACGCATGTAAAGTGGCCATACGAAGAGGGCGTATTATACACACTGATCATGACTTGTAAGAATTCCTAGTTGAATGTCCTCTCATTTGATTAGGTTAGGTGTCACGTAATTAATTATTTTACGTCGATGCGGAAAAATTTTAAGTCATGTGGACGCATCTCTGCCAAACGGAACTATGAACGAGTGGGAAATATGCGGTGTACTCGTGGTGAGCTGCATGAGAAACAATGTTAAAGTGGGCGTGACTCCTTTCGGGGAAATGGGAAAGCGGGACTGTACATTAAATCAAACGGAACTTAGCACCGACTGTATGCTAACTCATGAGCCGTGGGCAAGTGACATGAACATTGCGGATAAGGCTCATGAGTTAGTGCGGCGTCGTTGGACTCGCTGAGCCCGGTCGTCAACGCTGACGTCACTGGTGCTTTATGATTCCCATTTATTCTGACGGCCCTCGACTAACAAGCACACCCCTTCTTCTCCAAGTCTTTGATTTCGTTTGGGCGAAATACGTCCGTGTAAGAAGAAACTGCCAAACGTAACAACTCAGATCGACATGAGTGTTTTTCTTCTTCTTCTTTTTCTTGTCGCATGTTTGTCATATGCTGCGTCCATTTAAATGAAGATTATCCGATTTTGCTCTATTCTTTCAAGCAGATTCTTAGAAAGCAGGATGAAAGAGTTATTTTACAAAGTCAGTTACTGACTTTCAATAAAGATGAGCCTTAAGTATTAAAATTAAATTTTAAAAAAAATGTGCGTGAAAATGAAAGAGCCGTATGCAAAAACGACATTTTTCGCCCCCCCACTAAAACTTATTCAAACTTCGTCTATCAGTTACTAATACTGGAGCGCTTCTTTCCCCAAATTTTCAGATCCCCAAAAAATTTTGGGGGGGCGCTAGGGGGGGTGGAAGTCAAAACCTGTGACCCTCGATATCTTTCGAACGAAACAAGATATTGAGGCCCGGTTTAGACGAAAAATCGTTTAAAATTGCATACTTTAAGATTCTAAAGGTTAAAATCCCAAAATTAAATTTTTAACTTAACTTATGTGCTTTTTTCAGTTTTTGAGGAAAAACAATTTCTTTTAAACAGATTAAACTGAAATTTCACATTTTTTGATTTGAACCAAAACCAGTTTTTTAAATTGTTCGTCTTTTTCCGCATCCAACGAGTGGTCGTATAAGCTGGGGAACCGAACGGTCCCGGAGTTATGATCGATTGAAGTTTCCGCTCAACGCGCGCCGACCGATTTTCGCGCGCAAAAAAGTCGGATTTGACTGTTATTAAATCAGATTTAATGTTCAAACTGAGCAAAATGCATTATTAGGGACCCTTGAGGGTCGCTGAGTCCAGAAATTACAGGTACTTCCAAAAAATTCACGTTTTTAAAATTACAGCTCCGTACAGGACCACTGAGCGGCCGGTCGGCGCTCAGTGGGCCTCTAAAATAGCGCTGCGGAGCTGTAATTTTAAAAACGTGAATTTTTTGGAAGTACCTGTAATTTCTGGACTCAGCGACCCTCAAGGGTCCCTAATAATGCATTTTGCTCAGTTTGAACATTAAATCTGATTTAATAACAGTCAAATCCGACTTTTTTGCGCGCGAAAATCGGTCGGCGCGCGTTGAGCGGAAACTTCAATCGATCATAACTCCGGGACCGTTCGGTTCCCCAGCTTATACGACCACTCGTTGGATGCGGAAAAAGACGAACAATTTAAAAAACTGGTTTTGGTTCAAATCAAAAAATGTGAAATTTCAGTTTAATCTGTTTAAAAGAAATTGTTTTTCCTCAAAAACTGAAAAAAGCACATAAGTTAAGTTAAAAATTTAATTTTGGGATTTTGACCTTTAGAATCTTAAAGTATGCAATTTTAAACGATTTTTCGTCCAAACCGGGCCTCAATATCTTGTTTCGTTCGAAAGATATCGAGGGTCACAGGTTTTGACTTCCACCCCCCCTAGCGCCCCCCCAAAATTTTTTGGGGATCTGAAAATTTGGGGAAAGAAGCGCTCCAGTATTAGTAACTGATAGACGAAGTTTGAATAAGTTTTAGTGGGGGGGCGAAAAATGTCGTTTTTGCATACGGCTCTTTTGCTGATGTTTTTAAAGTACATTTCCCTCAAAACTATAGGAATCCTACTGATCCATGTTTTCGATTTATTTATATATTTAGTCAATATATTCTTGGTGCGTGATGATTTTTCAAGTCAAGTCTATTCGTTGCATAATGTTTTGAAGATCTGAGCATGTATCTAGTACACACAAACAATTCAGCCAAATGCATTGTAGGTAAAATCTCACGGATGTGATGCTGATCGCACATAAACCATTTCTTAATACGCTCAGAAACGCACATTACATGATCACTGCCGTACTAAGGAAAAACGCCTTAAAAACATTCAAAGGTTGCCAAATTCTCTCTAAGAAAATATTTATTTTTCAAGAAAGTTCTTAATATTTTTGCTCGAAATTTTTAGACACTTCAGATCAAGTTACGAACAAAATTTTCTGATAAATCGAAAGGAAAATATTCACAAATTTCCCTAAAAATCTGTGATTTTTCGAGGGAAATGTGGCAACGTCCGAAGTCTCATACGGCGTTCTTCCTTGGCACGGCAGAAATAGAGGCTGTATCGCGTATATTCAAAATTGGAACTATCTCAGAATGATTTGGATGAGAGACATTCAAACCGTCCGGTGGTTTGGTCCCTCTACTTTTTTCTGGTACATTTTTCGGTTTTTCTATTTAGCACCAGATGCTCCAGGAAGAGAGGAGCACAATGAACGTGAACTTAGACTGTGGCTTGTCGGCAATATACCAGGAAATGACATCAAAAACGGGACTTTGATAGCCGATTACGCGGGCATGGTGCCGTTTTACGAGGAGGGTAAGCACTGCCGCTTTATATTTTTTGTCAAATTTATACTGCTTACGGCGTTCAATCATTCTGTGACGGTTTGTATACACAGAGCAGGATAATACCTCCGATACATTTGAGATCTGGTCAATTATTTTCTCGCAAAACGTAATTACCAAATATTATAAACTGATTAAAGAATACACCATGTCATCATTTTCTCAAGAAGTTTTGGAGCGCAGAAAAATATATTTGACACTGGCTGCCAAAGACTAAGAACTCAGATGTTTTCTCCTCAAAATCATACATATAAAACGCATATCAGTTGCCAGGAATGTCGAAAATCAACTACTGCATGACCGATTTTTTAACAAGTACTTTTATCATAGATCATAGGAAAGTACTTATAAAGAAATAAGACGTTATTTTAATTTTCGCGATTTGCCCATTATCGATCTTTAACACTCACTACATCTTATTCAGGGGTTGATCTCTAGTCTTCACAATGTGCGAGTCGATTTCCTCGAAAAAATTGCAAGAAAAATGATGTGTTCCGTAAAGCGTAAGTTCATAAGTTCTTGTCCAGAGGTCCATTACTGGACTCGAAATACTCTCTGCTGTGGGTGTCATAGACAGAGTATAATTTCGAAGATAGAAGAATGCAATATGGCGTGATAAGACCAATTTCAACGTGTAGGATTGCTCCGTACTCCCTAAGTCCTCTTTGTGTATCGTTTTGTTATTCAATCTCACTTCAATAATCAACCCGCTGGTGCATCATGTATCCTTGATAATATAACTTACCTATTTTTAACAGCATGACATGCTATCATACTCAATAATCAACCCGCTGGTTCACCATGTATCCTTGATAATATAACTAATTTTTAACAGCGTGACATGCTATCATACTCATGATTCTCAGGCATATTGCGTACCGAGCTTCCTTATGAGAAATGATTAACCTCGTGAGAATTATAAATAATTATTACTTATTTATACTTTCCTCAATAACGAAATACATTTTCTCATTCAAAGGTCTTCATCGTTACGTATTTTTTGTTTATGAGCAAGAGGATGCAGGCAAAATAGATTTTTCGAATGAAATGTTCCTAACTCCGAAGTAAGTATCATAATTTTGTTTTTGTTTTTTACTCCCTTGTATGACGGCCATAAATCACGCGACGGGCGACGGGGTGTTAGTTCATACTGATTCTCCTAAATGTTTGATGCATGGAGATATTTTAAACCTATCAATTAGAGTTTGAGCTAAGAAGACTCTATTTTCAAACCAAATACTGAGAAAACGATATGACGGCCGCAAATTAAATTGATAGCTTATTAGCAGGCATTTTCACCAAAAACCGTTAGATATCTTCAAGCCATAAAAGAACCTAAGAGAGAGTGCCCTTTATCAAGAACGCGTGAACTTTGTAAACATCTGTTCTGAAAGCAACCTTACGATGAGAAACTCCTCTAATAAAAATTCTTATCCGAGTTTAGAGCTCGTTTCGGCAATGTAGCGTTTCAAAGTTTACATTTTTTTACCATTAAAGTTCCTCGACTGAGAAGCAATGTTAATTGCTTTTTTATTCTCTGAGGGAAAATATAGTCATCTGATATGTCTTGGAGCTATAGCCTGTTGTTGACATAACGAGTCAGTGGGGTCCAAGGAACAGGGATCCCACAGTATTGAAGCTTCTCCAGGAGTAAACCGACGGGGAAGGTCATTAAAAATGTCGCGGTTCCCGACGAAAATTCGAATTTATTTCCTTTAAGTGAAAAAGCACGAGGATCCTTGATATAATTCGATTCAGAATTTAAAAATATTTTGGGAACAGAATAATTCGAGAAGGTAAGAAAAAAGAATACAGTAACTCAATGCAAAACAGTCAATCACACTCTGCAGTGCTTAATTTAGACGCTTGATTTGATTTCAGCGACATAAATCTATCACGTGCTTATCATCACTCCGAGGATTTCCGTGAGACTTATCAACTAGGACCAATTATCGCAACTAATTTTTATCTCATGGACTATCGAAAAATAAGACATTAATTTGTTACATCTACCTTCACTCTCAATTACCTGCAGGTGTTGCATTTCTCTGCTCTCATAATTTCAATACTAAAGAACAAAATACATGTAAGAAGAAAAAAACTTGCAGAAAGAGATACCTAATGAATTGGTGGCCAAATCAATTTGATATCAATGCATATTTAATGTACTTTAAACTGTTCCTCCTAGAATATCATACCGAACTTTCAGTAAATTTTAGGAACACATGTGTGAAATTCGTATTTTATTTGTTTAATAATACAATGTGTAATGTGTAATATTTAGTTACGTTTGCCGAGTGCATTCAAGTTCATTAATTCAAAAAATTCAAATCATTGGGATCGTTATCATGGGTGGCGGTAGCCACCTCCGGACAAAGTCTAAACTCGACAACACTGGAAAGCCTCCAAACGAAAAAGGTGGCAGCCAACCATAGACACACGTAACTCCCTTATTCTGAAAATTGATTCGACTCGAACTCGACTGCAGCCCAAACGACGGCACGGATTCCATTGATCTTGGTGTCTACNCGAGTGCATTCAAGTTCATTAATTCAAAAAATTCAAATCATTGGGGTCGTTATAAAGGAATAAACATGTCATTTGTGAAAGAAAACAAATTAATGGGATTGTTACAGATGGATGTCACAAAACTAGATTAACCTGTCAATTTAAATTTATACATCATTTATCATCCCATTTATAGATATGGTGTGACAGTTGCTCACCCGCCAAGCCGTCACCTGTGTAATTCGTTGGTTTTATCATGTTAATGTCAATTTTATACCAATTATTGAATTACCTCAAAATTAGTTACCTTGGAACTAGCTCTTCAGTCTTGATCACGCTTTCAGTGTTTTGATTCGGAGTTTCTCCAACGACAGTGTTTAGTTAAGTGAACATTATGAAGATTTTTAAACCTTAAAATTAATTTAAAGCTTCGGAAGTGTCTAAACATTTTTTTACACTTTGTATAACCAAGTTCCATATACCTAAATATGTGAAATACAAAAAAATAGCGACGGCTAATGTGGTTTTAAATTTGTTTAGTAACTGTTGATGCTCCAGATCTCTCTGAGCCAAATACTGGATTAACAGAACCTATTTTATTTGATTGCAAAGTTAAGGGTAGCATTAAATCACATACGTTCCCTTCTTTATTATCTTAAAAAAAAAACTCTTAAGAAACCTAGGCTATATGACCTAAGTATAAGTAAATTATACCTACCGTTGGCATTCTTTTATATAGTTTGCTCAGGCTTCATAGCAAACTTCAGTATTAGATTATGTGATGTCGATTAATAGTTTTAAATACTGTATGTTTCTGAAAGAAATAAGTCCTTGGCAAACAGCAAAAATGTCGCATCTTTCGACAAAATCTTACTCTGGCTCGTCTTGAAAAAATAATGATCCTCCAAATAAAATTAGATTTTTAAATATTTTGACTACTTTTTCAATTACTTCCTATGAAATAAAGTCTCCTTGTTATCAACTGATAGACAAAGTTCGACTGAGTAATACAAATCACAAGAATCGTAATTTTACACGGGAAAAAGTTAGACTGGAAATTTGACAACTTTTTCTTGCAGCAAATTAGTGAGCACGTAAATTTTTGCCTGTAAATTCTGGAAATACATATCATGAAATTGATGGAACTAGTCCTTGTTTTTACCACAGCAGTGCCAAAAAAATGTCACGGTGGACAGATTAAGCATGAAAAACGAGCTTGTTGATCAAAGTTTGGCGGTATGGATAGACGATCAAAATGCCTTCTCAACGCCATTTTTCAACTGCTTTGTATGATCCAAGGTTACACAAGTCAAGATCTGGTGGTGCCACCCTTTAAAAAATTCAGAGATACAGTTGTAGGTCTGAAAAACGCTCTTCTCGATTTCCAAATTATACCAGACGTCTTGGAGGATGTGCCATTGCAAGTAATAAAGGTATGCATCGACTCAGAACCAGACTTAAAGTAAAATTTATGATGTTGAAAAACTTCTAATAGCATTAGTGTCTCCAATGTGTGCTAATCAAAAAAGAATTGATCATGATTATCTATGAAAAAAAGAGATAAATAAAAAATGAAAAAAAAAATGGGTCAAAAATTTTGGGTCAGGCCTGAGCCGTAACGTAATCCACCATGATGAAAAATGTGACTTCTCTCCTAACCGACACGAAAAGAACAAGACCGCGCGTAACGGAAGATTCTTAAGAAACTACTTAAGATTTGCCCCACTCTGGAAAAAACCGCTCTCCTGAACATATCTCCACTGAATATGGTCTCAATTTCCGGAAGCAATTCAGTATTTTAAATTACAATAATATTTTCGTTGAAAATTAAATTGTTTATGAACTTGAAATCCGCGTGTAGATTTAGGTATCTTATTTCGGTGGCGTAGCAGTACGATAACGCTGCACAATGCACACTCACTTCCTACATGATATTATTCCCAGAGTATGGTATACACAGTTGTCTTTGATTTCTAGGTCAAGTTTCAAGACAAGATTGTGAATCTTGGGAATAAGCTTACGTTATTAGACATAATGGTTCCTCCAACCCACGTTTCATGGGAATTTGAAAAAGGAGCTCTTTACACATTGATAATGTCAGGTATGTGCATACTGCATACATCCTCCACCAAGAATGTTCCTTTATGATGTTAAATTTCCCAAATGGGTACCGCACAGACCTAAACAGGGTGATCCAGAAATACTGCACAAACAGCACCAATCATCACCCTTGTAACTTTTGAGCAAATTGAGATAGCGACTTGAAATGTTGTGAGTGCTCCTCGGTCAAAGGAAACGACTTTTGGGAACTTTCAAAATTTTAAGTAGATCATTTTAAAA